AAGTAAACCGTCGAACAGAATTAGGGAAAGATGAGAGAAACAAAGTCACATTTAACAAGTGAATGAATGTACATCATGTTGTAAATTAGTTACATGTTATAGCCACCGTATTACAATTGATATGAATCATTGTGCATTTAGTAATTGGTCCATGCTCATGGAGCAATATTAGTTTGCCCCTCTCCTAACCATGCAGTGTGTATAAAATGGAGACGTAGAGTTGAATGAGGTGAAGCAGAGGAAAAGACATATATGTGAATAATAAATGGATGAACCTTGTGTTGTAAGTAAATTACATGATATAAGAAATATATTATAATGAGTAGAAAGTGCTTGTTTGACCTCAAAATGTAAAAATAGTAGAAAATGCGGAGTTGGCTTATGCGGTTGTTATTAACGAATGAGATAAGGTCCAGTGAGCTAAAGAACCTAGAATCAAAATATAATTATCAGGGTGGATGTACATACAGTTAAAATAGACTTACATCGTCTGACCAATACATTACAGTCCGTATAAGTTAGTGTACATGGAGTTGTATTTGTACATAGATAATGCCGTTGTCTCAGAGTAAAAGTAAAGTGATGTGAATCATTAATCATATTGATAAGCGTAATAATAGAATTTGGTATACGAACAATGTGTGATTCATAACACATTATGAATGATAATATACATTTATGTTGTCGTTTATGTACATACTATTCAGGAAGTGTTGCAAATTAGGGTATTTGATGCATAATTGGCAGGAGCAGAAGTAATAGATTGCAGCAATGATAGGGTGTTAATTGTTGGTTATTTTATTGTTAATTTCCCTTTTATCCTTGCCAAATATTATTTTAATTAGTAATATTTACTTATAATTTGGTATTGGACTCAATTTCAAGGAGTGGTATAGAAAACTAAAAAAAAAAGGAGGGGCTTTCTAGAAATAATAGAGACTTCAAACAAGCCACAAACCTGGCCGATATGGTGATACGGACGGATTGTATTTCTTTTGGCTGATTGGGAGTGTCTTGAGTACTAAGAGTCCTAAGAACAATGAAAGACGAGAGAAAGAGGAAACACCAAGAGGCCTTGCCTTTTGTACTTTGATTTTGAATCTGCGGCGAGGACCACGGAAAAGCATTGAGTCATTTTTAGCTTTGGGAGGAAAGAAACGTAGGAAGCTTTGGCAGTTGCTTGTTGCTAATTCGTGGGGACCACTGGAGATAGTATTAGGCATCTTTCTTTTGGCTTTAAAAAGGGAACGAACGTGCAGGAGCTCTTATCACTAGTTTTAGAATAGTTTTAGTTCAGTTTTAGTTTTTCTTTTCTTTTCCCTTTGTCAGGCACATGCCAATTGTTCGACAATATTCCCCAATGGGAAAAACATCCCTTATTCTTTGCTTTCTAGTGAAAAACTTGATGCTTTCACAGTCAATTAATTTGCGCGGATATTTAATTATGTGATGTGGCTAAGCCTTTCATCTAGTTGAAGGTCAACTTGAAGGCGCGGTTCCAAATATCTGTGAGATCGAATTAATTTTATTTATTTCTTTTATTCATTGGTATTTGTACGTTTCCTGATTTAATTGCGTATGCTTGTTATGTTATTTGAATGTCAAGGGCCCGATATTCGAATTAACCTAATGAACTAATGCCAAATTAATTGATCGAATCCGTAATTGTTCAATTGATTAATACCAGTGGCGACTGGTGTGATTGGTTTCATGTTAGGGAAACGTATGATCTAATTTAAACAAACCCTCGTAGCGTGTTTGTTGGTTGGGGTTGGATTTTTCTAATTATTAATGCAATCGAGTAATTAAATCCTACGGTCGTACCTAGTGTCGCGCCCCATTTTTTGATAAATAAATAAATGGTTTAAAAAAATATTTTTTGATTCAATTTGTGATTGGAAAATGAATTGTGATTTAAAAGAAAAATGGGTCTAAATGGGGTTTGAGAATGCGACGATTTGACCCAAAAATATAGGCTCCGTTTGGATTAGCTGTTTTTGGGGTTGTTTTTTAAAAACAGCACTATTCATTTTTTGAAAAACACTCAATGTTGTTTGGATTAGTTGTTTTTCAAAAACAGAGTGTTTTTGAAAAACAAGCGTGTATGGATTCACTGTTTTTGAAAAACAACATTTAATTTTTTTTAGGGCTGTGTTCGAAATACTGAGTGCCATTTGCACTTAAACAATTATCAATTTTTTAATACATAGACGAGACATAAGTGTACAATTTATTGGGCCTACTATCTGAACAAATAATGACAGGAGATGTTCTACTGGTGCTGATAATAGTACATCATATCGGCTATTGCTCTCCTACTTTCATTCCATTCAGCAATTCCTGCAGCCGACATATCTGGTCCTTGTGCTGCTGGCATTGGGTTGAAGGGGTTTATGTTATCTGCCAATGCTATATCTGCTTCTTCTTCGGCAAAATATGCATCATTTGGAACATACTCGCGCATGAAGTTGTGCAAGGCCATACAAGCCAGGACAATATTATTTTGCGTAGCCATCATGTAATTCTGCATAGGGCCCTTAAGTATTGGAAATCGTTTCTTCAAGACGCCAAACGTACGTTCTATAATGTTTCTTAACGATGCATGACGTTTGTTGAAAAGTATCCTCACTGCCCGCTCTTGCGCGGTTCCCCGTGCACCTTTAAATGGAGCCATAAATCCTGTCATATTCTGGTAAGCTGCGTCCACCGCATAATACTTCCCTGGCATAATGAAATTATATTTATATAAACTTTGAAGACGCATTGCGGAAAGGAATTATGTGATTTAATCTGGACTAACCTGCTGGTGGCCACGGAAATGCACAATTAGGATCTTGTATGACTTCTTGTAAGATTCTAGAATCATGTGCGCTACCCTCCCACCCTACCCTGACATAAGTAAATCTCATGTTGTGATCACACACGGCTAGAACGTTTTGTGATAAGCTACCATGCCGGTTCCGGTAACGTTCCCTGTCTTCGGCTGTACACCAGGCCGAAACATGTGTTCCGTCAATCGCTCCAACGCAATCCTAATAAAAAAAAAAATTCTAGACATAAGTTGGTCACAGCTGTTAGACAAAATGAAATAGTAATTTGACATAGTAGCTCATAACCTTAAACCAGGGCCAAAACAAAGCACTGTTCTGTATTCTTGGATGGGTTGTGTGATAATCTACCGGTCGGACCAGGTCGCGTCCCAATCGAACGAGAGATCTAAGGCAGCGTCGTAGATGGCGGTCCGTTGTCTCGGGAGAATGTTGGAATCTCTCGGCAAGCACCCTATGTCGCTCATTATGGCTCAAACACAGCAGGCATATAGCAACGGACTCATGAATCCCCACCCGTTGTGTCGGGTGGGGCACCCAATAGCCCCTCTGAACCAACAAGTCACACAATTGGAGGAAAAGGGGAGCTTCCATTCGAAGGTTGTCGAATATTCTGTCTCGATGGCCGTTTATCAGCTCGATAACATATTGAGGACCTGACTGTGCACTATCTCGAATTCTTCGCCGCTGGCCCGAGTTGATGTACGGGTCGAATAAGGCCAATCCAGCAAGAATAAAGGCAGCGAAGGCCAACATGAGCTCCTCGTCGTCCGAGTCATCAGATGAGTTCCCACCATTCACATAACCATCATACTCCATTTCGTTCAATCTGTGCGACTGCGTTGGACGTGAATCTGAAAAAAAAAAAGGAAAACAGAGATATCATTCAAAGCCAATCTTAATTTGCCAAAACAGAGTAGGAAATATAAAATTCAACATATACATGGACCAAAATTGAACAAAAACCTATTGGCCAACAAATTTATAGCCAAGAGGATAAGTTCTTGGTTTGTAAGACAAGAGGATTGGTTTGTAAGCCAAGAGGATAAGTTCTTGAAATATATAGGCTATTCGATTGGTTTGTAAGACAATACGATAAGTTCTTGAAATAGCCTAGAGCCTTCGCCAACCAATTTATAGCCAACAAGTTGAGGAATCCAGTAGAAGTTTTGCATCGTACTTCATAAAAAGAATCTTACATCTTCTTCAAGCAAGTCACGTATTCTTGAAAGAATTGTCCAAGTAAGACATATTCTTCAAAATAGTTGTTGAAGTAAGTCATATTCCCTACTTAATACTTGCTCTAAAAATGATCATCATACCTAAAAGCACCTATTTTCCTTCCAAAAGTTGCTTTTTTCTTGTCCCTTACTTCAATTTTGAATAAGTCTTTGTTGAAATGGACTTTTGTTGAAATGGACATCCATTTCAGCGGATGTTGAGATAAGTCTTTGAAATGGACATCCATTTCAGCGGATGTTGAAATTGATCTGCCAATTAGTTGTTGAAAGACTTTTGTTGAATAAGTCTTTGTTGAAATGGACATCCATTTCAGCGGATGTTGAGAGGAATTTCAGGCCAAGATAGATAGATCATCTTTGTTAAAGTAAGTAAGGAATTTTCTTTATTCTTTATTAAGATAGATCATCTTTATTCTTTATTCTTTATTCTATCTTTGTTAAGATAGATAGATAGATAGATTATTCTTTATTCGAAAATTCAGGCCAAGTAAGGAATTTTGTCCCTTACTTGAATTACTTCATATAATTCTTGAAGTAAGTCGCACAATTGAGCTGCGTGGATGAAATTAGACATATTCTTGAAATAAGTGACACATATTCTTTACTATATAAACTGTACGCCAAGTAAGGAACGTTATCCGTTACATCTTTCTTATTATCCAACTCTTACAATTTTTCTGAACCTACTATTCCTGACATTCCAACAACAAACATAGCAATAAGTAAGGAAAAAACTGCCCTACGTATTCCTGACATTCCAACAACCTGCATGGATGAAACTATCACTCTTAATAAGTATCACTCGAAACAGACATAGCAATAGCCCAACCAGTACATTTCCTAAAAAAAAAAATGCGATCCAACAACAGTCATATCACCATGATTTGTTATATCCAACCTAATAGAAACGAACACAAACCAGTTTTAAATGAAACAAAAAAAAATCTTCAATCCGCAAACCAATTCTTAAACAAAGGCATCATGAATTTAATTACTCAACATTCATCCGCAACACAACAACTCAACAAACCAGTATTCATCCGCAAATTCAAATATACAAACCACAACACTCAGAAAGGATAAAGTCAAGTTCCGGTAGCAAATGCTACACCTAACAGATCTCAAATACAAACAAACATTAGGCAACAACTCAAGTTTCAAATAAATGCTCCTGATGAACAACGAAAGCACCTAAAAGGGGGGTGGGGGAGGGGGCTCCTGAGAGTCAGGGGGGAAACAGCCTTTTAGCTTCATCCAAGTGATGCGGTCGGCGTCACTTGCAGCTAAATTCCAAACATCCAGCTCTTGTTTATCCTTCAATATCTCAGCTGCCTTGTATTTGGCCATGAAATTGACGTTCTCAATAAGTTTAAGTTGATCCATGGCAATTTCATAGTCGGTTTTCTTCGATGGATCGCGGCCAGAACGATTCTTGTCCGGAGAACTAACTGAGGCACTCGTGCTGGAGCTCTTCTTCCGACTAACCAGTGACTCGATGCTTTCACAGACCCTGAGATATCTATCGGTCACTGAGCCAGAAGCGGTGGACATGGGACTACAGCCAGAGCCATCACCCGACTTCCGCTTTCCTTTCCCCCCCTTTCCTTTCGCTTCTTTTGGCCCCCGTACCTCAATTTCAGCTTCCTCGTCCCTGCTGGACCTTGATCCCTTTCCCCGTGCAAGCCGGGCAGTAGTCTCCATTTCTCGCTCATCGGCTGAAGTACGGAGCTCGTTCTCGAAGCCAGAACTGAAGTCTCCCGTCGCTCCTTGGTTGACGAAGACTTCCTCAAGCAAATGGTAGACGGTGCAGTCATTCCGAAATTTGCCGTATTTTGGGTTGACCTGACAAAACAAATTCAGCCAAAACAGGATTTAATGGAATATTACACGTATGAAATGACAAAACAGTTTATATAAAAAAAAAGGCACAGAAAATGTGGATACCTGCTCCATCGCGGCCCATTGGCTATCATCCATAAGCCATGTAAACTTCTGGCTATCCCAACCCATTCCCGTTCCGCGCCTCTTAAAGGAAATGTACAGCTTGGTCTCCCCGCGCAATGCATAGTACTTGCCCCTTATACTATCCTCAGTAAACGAGGTGCCGTACTGCCCGTTTAACCGGCGCTGAATTTCGGGAACCACGTAGGAACTAATATTGTCCCTAATTTCACCCTGTCTATGCATCTCAACAAGGTGGTTGGCAAACTGGATTTCGTGCTGCCTAGAGTAATTACAACGCTCCTTCTCTGGATGGCGCCTTTGTTTTCTCATCTTAATAAGCCATACACAAATCCAGTTGAAAAAAACAGATTGTAAGCAGCTTTTTAGAAAGGAAAACAGATTGTATTGCATAAGCGGCTAAATTTTATTTAAAGCCATTTAACACTTATGTGGATAACCCAAATCTGTCGGCCATTAAATACACTTCTTCTATAACCAAAAAATCATGAGGATGTAATGAGGATCAAGCCAAATCATGTATTGTAATGAGGATCAAACCAAATCTGTTAACAAAATGTAAAAAATCTAGAACTAAAAGTTAAATTGAGCACTCATCCAACATAACACTAGCAAATCAGCACTGTTCTGTATTTTGGTAATGTGAAGTTTCGCTTTAGTTCGTAAGCTCCTTAACTCTGTTTTATTCCAATTTAAAACTTCAAAGTTCTTTTCCTTCCACATTATCCATATAAAGAGCACCCAAATCCAAAAATGCACATATAACTCTTTCCCACATAAAGTCAAGCCAAGAAAGAAGACTGTTCCAGTTCAAGACAAAAGTGATCTCAAAAAACAGGTGCTGAAAGCTTCTTCTAATAGTAGACAGGATGTAAATTAATAGTTCTTTTTTTCAGAAATTTAGACCAGTTGACACATGCATTTTTCTTCTCCGAAATGCCACCACTGTCCAACCAAATGGAAAGAGCTTTCCAGGACAAGTAGAGTACTATTTCTGGTAGAGGAAGTTTTCCATATTTGTTCCTCATATATTGATTGAAACACATTGGACGATAGCTTATGGCTTAACAGTACATATACTACACATCAATATTAACATCCTGTCAGTGTTACTTTGAACAATGGAAATAGTCCCTATCATGTCCTCCTCACAGCAAGGCTCTGTTCTTAGCATGGACAGCCAATATTAACATCCTTTCGCTTTAGCAAATCAGCACTGTTCTGTATTTTGGTTATGACAAAAACGAACTAAATAACAAATGCTACCATGCATAGTGAAATCCGACAATAATATTCAAGGCAATGAGGTAAAAATGTTCGATTTTGCTGTTTCGTGGGACAGGGAAGAAGGTCCAACTTTAGAAGAGTCAGCCCCCTAACATATTATGACTAAAATGGTGTTTCAGACACATAATAATGGAAAAAAAAGTACAGGAGGTACAATGGTACCTTGTAGTAGTTAGAAAGGCACTGCCGAATATCGTTTTCCGCCCAATCAGACCTGGTTCCAAGAGATTTCTGGATCCCAATCGGCTTCAATGCTGTGTCAACAACAAGGATCGTCAACTACTAGACAACCATACTATAGAATGCACTGAACAAAGGGGAAATTGGCAAATATACCTTTGGCAGCACGGCGGGTAACAGGGGGCATGAAATCCTAGCCAGCGGCAATATAGAGCGATAAACCACCCTGTATAAGCAAATGGAGAGCAAGGAGAAGTTAGAATGCTTTATAAATTCAGTTGCTTTTGGGAAATCAAACTGCCCTAAAATTTGACTCTCGACATCTCATCGCGCAAGTTTGAAGTAATAAAATAGCTACATAAATATTTGGAACATGTAGCAACAGCCGTCGAATATTCTGTCCAGGTTTCAATCAAGAGAAAATATTATGCGACAACCGAAAGTTTCAGAAGTAAGCAAATTATAGACAACTAAGGAACTCAAATTGAGTTAACTTTCCACATCCACAAAAGAGAAAAAGAAAGTGCTAATTGAATCATCAAAGAGGGAAAAATGGTAAGCTTTTTGAAGTAGAGATCAATCTGGATACTATTCTTCTTGATTTAGTTAGAGTTATGAGTGCAATCAGATCAGTTGTCCTTAACTTGTTGAGTGCACACACAGATGACAAGAAATTGAAGAATAAAGATGAGTTCTCTACAATCACATATATACTGCTCCTGCAGATTCTCCTGAGATTAATCTAACAGGTACACAAAAAAGTGATGCAATACCACCAATATCAATCATACCTCCTATCAAAAAATTGATAGAGAATGTTGACATGACAAACAGAAGGTACCTGATGCCAAAAACAACACCTACCAAGCATCTTTACTAAGAAGAATAATAGGAAAGGTCTAAGCGTACTGAAATGGTGATTGTTGATGACTACAGCCAGTTCAGTCTAACAAAAAAGCGGTTTACAGGGTGATAATGAGACAGGTTACATGTTGGATTAAGAGGTACAATGCTCCCTTTGAACTTCTAAATCTTTGTAATCCTACATGACTTCGCATAAGTTTTACAATTTACTTGTAATCTAATAGATGAAAATGGACATTAGAGCATCTTAAGCCAAACCCAAGACTGTAACGTAAGCTTTAATTTGCATTCAGAAGAGAAAGTGAACATTTCTAGACCAAACTTAATTAAAAGTAAACACCACAAACAATTTATTGGGATTTGCTGCATGTCAAACTAGTTAGGCATTCATTGCAAGCACGACCTTCTGCAGCTAAAAATTGGTACTTTGAAGTATTCATTAATAGCTTTCTATGGAAAAATTTACATGAAATTGGTACAAGGCCGAGCTAACCACAATCACATCATATAATTTACAGTTTGGACAAGACCAGGATTTCACCTCGAAAGTTATCCAGAGAGAAAATAAGTGATATAATCTGAACGATTCTCTATTTTGGAAGGGGATAAACAAATCAAGCAATTTCCAGGATTTGTCCATTCGGTAATAAAGGTATATAATCTGAACGATTCTCAATATGATAGATTGAGTACTGGTAGGAAGTAAATCAAATTCAAAAACAATGGACTTGGTGCTGTTCCTTCCATTATTGAAATCTCAGACCAATACCAAGACCAGGACAAAGTACAGGACAAGAAAACTTTAAAAAGAGCTCCCCATCTGATATGGGAAATCGCTCCGACACAGAAAGCATGATACAGAGCTAACAAGCTCCCCTTCCCCTTCCCCCGTTTTTCACAATTCTTCGGACAAATGCATCAATTCGACTGACTATGAGAACCAGTAAAACAAGCAGAATGTAATTTACTGCGTACCATCTTAAATTAGCATCCAAGATTTCCAGGAAGGCCTGAATATAATGGATTTTACTTCAGTTATTACATACAGAAAATGATATAATCATAGGGGCGAAGGATTTGATATCTTTGTTGCTGACCTAAAGATTTCAGACACCCAACAGACTCATGTTCGTGTGATAAGCTTCCCCAAGGTCAAAACGCAACACTCCCACCCTGGTTTACCTCATATAATCAGCCCTGGAAAAGGTAAAATAAGCAGGGAAATCAGAGCTTACCTTATTCGACCTGCACAGCGAAGATGCTCTACCGTCGGTTGCTTTTTGGAGCTGAAGACCCGCCGTGGTTAAGTGTCTCAATCGTAGGAAAAGGGCTGTGATCGCGGCGTAAATGGGCTCAGATTCACGTCATTGGTTGCAGATCCGGTGAAATTTTGCAGATCTTGAATCCACTATGGTTTGCTTGTTTTTTTCAAGAGAAGCGGCTAGAATGTTTGCTTGTTTGGGAAAGTGATATGAGGGTTGAATGGGTGTCAACTGTCAACGATAGATGCAGTCCGAGAACAAGTCTTTTGGCAATTTTTGTCAAAACGACGTAGTTTTGTCATTTTTTAACTGTAGACTTTATTGTAACCAAAATACAATTAGTGGTTGTTTTTGAAAGACAAAAACAGTTTTAGCAAAAATTGACAATCCAAACGGACCAATAGTTTAAAAAGGGTTTTTTGAAACAAAATACGGAGTCGCCACTTGGTAATGAGTTAAGGTGTACCAAGTCACCTAAAAAATGTATTTTTAAAGAAAAATAGGAACAAGTAGTGGGAAAACCCTTTTTAAACGACTCCTAGTCTACGTAAATCAAAGAAAAAGGTTTGGGAGTCACATTTGACAAAGGAGAAGGCAAGGATAAAATCCAAGGCACCCCTTTGACCTAGCCAAGGCTAGTTGCATGATTTAATCAAAGATTTTCTTGTTTTAACCAAAGAATTTATTACATTTGGGTGTACTACATGAATGCAAACCCTAGACCTAGGGGTATTGGGGGAAATTTCTCTTCAAAGGTTGAGTGGTGCCAATCACATTAATTGTGAAGCCCAATAACGATCCTTTGAAGAAGTCACGAATAATGCGAATGGGATGCAAATGAATGGAATGCATGTATGCAATGTGAGGACATGAGTTTGAAAAAGTAATAAAAAACAATAAATATGTAAATGAAAATGTGCACGTGAGTGGGCAAGGTACAGTATGTGAAATGATAATATGAAGTGCATGTGTGCAAGTGATGATAAAAGTGTTCGTGTGCAAGTGAAGAAACATAAAGGTGCACGTGTGCAAAATGGGAGGAAAAATGAAAGTGTGATGAGGGTATAAAATGGTAGAGTGGATTTAAAAATGCATGAGTCTAGGGAATTCATGCATATTGGGTACGGAGAGACCTAAATCGTGACTCAATTTGCCCTTTTATAGAGGGAATACAAGCGTGCTAAGGCTTAGAAAAAGCCACACTCGTCTATATCCCATATTTAGGGGACTCTCAAGCAAATGAACCCTATAACTAGCATGAAATGCAAAAATCCTAAAATGGAGGGAAAAGGGGTTCGAGGGGCATGCAAAAATGATAAAACTAAAAAGAATGCATGACATGTAATGAACATGCAAATATGTACTAACGAGGGGAAATCCCTAAGGGTCTAGCGTTGGACTAGCCCATTCTATGAATTCCGACTAGCGTTGGACTAGCGGAAACGTACATTCATCCATCACATTCATTCATGGCTATGAAAAGCGAGTAGACATGCCAAACACTCATAAACACATAGCACATAACATTTAACATGCTCGACTAGATGCAAGGCCCTAACAAAGCAAATTAACACGTAGCAACTAAGCATGCAAGACACATAAGACAATTAAAGCCCTAACTATTACATTTGCTAGCTAGGCACATGACTTCGATAGGTTTTCATTGAATGCTCCTCCAAACCCTATCTATTACATTAGGGAGACCCTACTACAATCTAAAAGGGGGAAAAGGAATAAAATAGTTAAATCCCTAACTATTACAAGCCAAGAGGTGTACACATACCCCATAAAGAATAACTTAAATAAAAAGCAAAAGTAAATGACATAAATAAAAGAAATTAAAGAAAGGCTAGGAAAGCAAAGTAGACATGTATTTCTCACGTAGCACGTTGGTTCACATAGGAGAGACAAAAAAAGATAAAAGAAGTTATACCTCTCTTGAGTTGAAGCTCTAACGTAGTGAAGTTACTAATGTACCCTCCAAAATAATAAAAGGGTCAAGGTACCACAAATCAACAAATAATCATAAAAAATAAAATGGTAAACTTGAAATTGAATCAATTGAATCATGTAAGCAACTCACATTTAAGAAGTCAAAAGAATAAGAGACTTGATTGCAAACATTAACAAAGTTTTGGGGTCAAAATTAATGAAAAATAAAGTTCAGGGACTCATTTGCAATTAAAGTAAGGACCGAATTGAAAGTAGTTGAAAATATTCAGGGCCACAGTAAAGTTAAGGGGGGAAATTTAGGGACTGATTTGCAGAATCGTTTTCTGGTTTCTTAATGGACCAAACCATTGGGCCATTTTTGTTATTTGCTTGGGCCAAAACCTTCCAGGCCCAATCGAAGTCCAGGGAAAAACAAGTGGGCTAGTACATTATTGTGGCCAAAAAATTAGCCAACCAAAAAGATGGGCCTTGACTCTCTAGCCCAAACCAAAAAAAACAAACAAAATAAACTAAAACAACTTTCTTAAACCCAAACACAAAACAACCTCTTGGCCCTAAACATTTATTTCATTAAGCCCAACAAGATAAACAAATCAACAAAATTATTAAGCCGCAATTATGACCCACAAATCAAGAATTAATCTATCCAAAAAGTCACATAAAATATGCAAACAGAGGATTAAACTTGAAAAAGTGAAATTAGTTTGATTTTTCCAGATTTTGGGCCACGGTGAACAAAGGGAGACTTGGGGGGCCAGAACGCAATTTTAGAAAGTTATTTTTTTGCAAAGCACATTTCTACAATCTGTTCATGCAAGGCTACGGTGAGAATTTATGCAACATCAACCTGCTACCTTCTCTAGTTCACTATCAATTCGAATATGTCACTCACAAACATCAGCTTTTTGAATCAAACAATCGCAAGACACACTCCTAACCACCACCCAAGCCAAATATTACCCTTTTGTTGCAAGATCAAATCAGAAAATCTGGTTTGGTGACAGCTAGCAAAAACAAAGGGTAGCAGTGGTTTTCAAAATAACAAAACAAAAATGCAGCGAAAATGTTTAACTCTTGTTTGAAGTGTCGAACCAAAACATTCAAGAAAACATGCTAAAGATCAGATCTTGAATTTGAACAAAATACTAAACATGCTAATCCAACACCACTTATCTAATCCACCTTTCCAATATAAGATCAATCAGCAGGTTGGATGGCTGAAACTTGGTGAGCAATTGCAGAAAAAAGAAAACAGCAAAGAGGACTGCAAAAATTTTATTCTGCTGCAGATTTGATGCTCATCAAAATGCAACCAAAATAGCTTAGAGCTCTGCCATAACTTCAAACAAACTCACAAGATAAATATCTTAGGCACAACCATAATCTTGCAATAAAAAACCAGTATTCACAGCAAAACAGCCTTGCAGATCATCGGATGAAGGGAACTAACAGCTTTCATTCAAAAATGGCAGAAATGAAACAACAATAGCCAAACTGAAAAACATATTCTACTAAAGGGAAATTGATACGGGTCAACTTATTCACATGCTAAGTGTAGAATCCTTTGAAAAGAACATACAAAGCCATGAGAAACTTTTCTTTTGAGCAACAAATATTCTCTGCAATAATTTTATTCCCAACCGTGGCTTTCTTCTAATTCATCATTTCAAATCTATTGCACAACCACAAGGGAAAAGCAGGGAGCTACAGCACACCATCCAAACCCAACCTCTTGCATAATTGCCAAAACGTCAACTACCCAACTCTAGTAAACAAAATTTCTGGGATAAGAACACGCAAGCAAAATCGTCCTCAAGCAAGACTGTCGGTTGGGTATTTCGTCAAACACCACATGAGCATAAGAAATTTTAGCTAATCTCTCGCTCAATTGATGTAAAGCAGCACCCAAAATTATCAGAAATCCCAAGAAAATCCAACCAAATCAACACATAAAACATGTATAATCATAAAATTATGGACCATCAACAGGGGAAACGTAACAACCAAGTCATGGCAGACCCATTTGAAAAACTTTCCAAAACTTGTGATCAAGGAAAAAAAAAAATGAAATACAAATGAAAGGGATAACTTACGGTGGACTGCTAGCGGCGGTGCTCTTCTGGCAGCCGGACTGGAGGCAGTCGGGGATGGCGGTGTCCTTGAGATCGACTGAGATAGGCAGAGTAAGCCTTGGTGAAGTCGTGAGGAGAGGGTTTCAAAATCTTCGCAGTTGCCATCGTTGAATCCGTCTCTGTAGCATCTCCGCCGGCGCGGCCGACGCCTCTCTTTTCCTCTCTCTTCTGTTGCTCCTCAGCCCTCATCCACTCTCCTTACCCCAGCCTCTTTTTTTCCTTCTTTTAGATTTCCTCTTCTGGCCGCCGTTCCCCTTCTCCTTGTTCTCCGTTTTCTTCGCCGTCCGCCGCTCGTTTCCTCCTCCTCAAACCCACGGCTGAGAACCTCCCCCCTGTTTTTGTTCTTTTTCCTTTGATTTTTTACTGCTGAAAACCTCTCCCTATTTTCCAGCCGAGCTTCCCGCTCGGTTCTACTCTCCTTCAGCTCCCCTGGACGAAGCCCTCTATTTCTTTTTTTTCTTTTTTTTTTTTTTTGCTCTTCTTCCGCTGAAGCACTCCTCTGTTTCTTTCTTTTCGTCCTCCGTAGCCTCACGGAGCTCCCTCTCCAATTACTCTCCCCTCTTGTTTTTCCTTTTTTGCCGTCCTCTTTTCCTCGTTGTTTTTGTTTTTTTTCTTTTGTTTTTTCCATCCCCAAGCTTTTTTTGGCCGTTCCTTCTTGCTGTAGCTAGTTTCTGCCCTCTTTTTTTTTTTTATTTTTCTCCTGCAGCCCCCTCCTTTTTTCTCTTGGGTCCTCTAAATGTGTAACACCTAACCCCTTTGTTGTCCAACTAGAATGAGGACATTTGTCCCTCATGCAAGATTTCACTTGTCATTTTTATTATTTTTCTTTTTTTTCTTTTCTTTTGTTGCTTTTTCCCTTTTTCTGAAATTTAATATATAAAAAAGAACCTTTAACCTTGAACCAAATAAAATAAAATAAGAGACATGAAACAAGAAAACAACAAAACTCAAATTGAAATAATTAAATCTAAAGTTAATTTAATTAAATGAATAAAGTTTAAAAAAAATCGAAAATTTGGTGTCTACAGTTTGCCCCTCTTTGTCTGAGTTTTGGAAAAATTTGAGACAAATAAGTAGACACCAAATACTTACCTGCGATTATTCGGCTGCGACTACTCGAACGACTGCCGTCTTTGGAACGAGGACCGACCTCTTTAACAAAAATTTTGAAATGGGGACTGACCCAAACGAAAAATTTAAAACGGGACTGACCCAAACAGAAATTTTAAACGGGATGGACCCGAACAAGAATTTAAACG